AGATGTTACCAAGCATCGCAGAGACACACCCTCGGTGATGGAGACTCCGAATCTAGGCAAAAGATTTACATATGTGTCATGCATTGACTTAACTTTACTTGTGAGTGCAAATGTTATGACCTCGTCAAGTAAACACACTAAAACAATCATTGAGCACAGATTAATGCAACATTTCATTATTTATAATTAGCAATAACAAAAGTTCATTCAATGATTATTTTTAATTATAAAATCTGCTTTTCTTCTGGGAATAAAGGAGTTTATTTTAAAAGAGTTCCTCTGTGATGGACCTTGGAGGTCAAGATGTTATTGTTTATGATTTATTATCTCTGCAGTCCAGTTGTTGTGAGGAAGTAGGCTCTGATTAAAAGGGCTACGTACAGACTCTCCGACTCCTGTCAGAGGAAACGATTGTAGGATGTGTCATAGCCAGGGTAAGTTGACCTGGCTGTGCATTTGACCTGTGGGATCTCAAAATGAGGCCATTTCGTGACGTTGCAACATGAATCAGTATGATGGCCTTAATTTAGAACAGCTTCTGAGACTTGCCATGCTCAAGTCTCATGAAATGACATTTCAATATGTCCTTATAAAACATCTTTAACTTAAAGTACTTGCATAAATAATCATCAGAGGAATTGAGGATGATTTCAGTTATACTAAACTTGAAAAATAACAAAGCTACATTATTGTGTTCTTTTTACAGATACCGAGTAATTAATTAACATTTGATGCACTATTTGGTGAATTTTTTTTAATGATTGTCCTTTTCAAAGTGGTTCCAGCTGAACCTCTTATTGATCTCAAAACCTTTAAAAGCTGGGCTGCATGGTGGCACAGTTGGTACCACTGCTGCCTTGCAGCATCAGCGTTGCTGGTTCAAATCCAAGCTATTTTCCTTATACGTGGAGTTTACACCTAATGACTGCTAGAGGTAGTGACCATAGTGAGGACAAGCAGATAAAATTTGTGAGTGGAAATGACAATTCAAGCCATATCATGCTTTTATTTTAAAGCTTGATAACTAAAGTCAATAATTAACTGCTAATGTAATTATTGTATTATTTTTCTGACATTTTAAAGTTATAGTTAAAATCCCACAAGTTGTCACACACACTGGTGTGTGAAACTTGCCCTCCACATTTGACCCATCCCCTGGGGGAGTGGTGAGATGCAGACACAACCATGCTTGGGAACCATTTGGTGGTTTAACCCTCCAATCCAACCCTGTAATGCTGAGTGTCAAGCAGGGAGGCATTGGGTCCCATTTGTTCAAAGTCTTTGGTATGACCCGACCAGGATTTGAACCCCAATCTCCCATTCCCAGGGTGGACACTCATAGCACTAGGCCACTGAGCTGGCTGTACTAAATGATTAGAGAATGTAGTGTAGTGATCATTTGGCTTCTACAACTTTTGTTAAAGAGTTTCTACCTCAACCTGTAGATGTTCACTCGTGGCATCTGGGGAGTTCAAAGTTCAGGTCATCACCTGTCACTCTGGCCTGAGATATGAATTTTACACCATATGGTGGCACTTTTTTTCTTCTTTTTTTCAATAGATGAGTCATTTGTCAAAGTACACGAGTGTCTAAAACCCAAAGTTACCGATCAGGGCATAGCTGTGAAGGAGATGAGTGATGATATCCTTTAGGTTTTATAGGTTGTTGAATGATGTATTAAATTCATCTTTGACTCACTTCTGATTTTCAAACCTTTTGAACATTCAATGTCAAGTGCAGACCACTTCCAGTCAGGTCTATTATTCTGCACACAAAAACACACAAGGTATTTTCTGATTTAACAAGAGGATGATGTCACCCTCTGCTGCCCGCGGATAAATGGAGAAGAAAGTGAAGCCACCAACATCGGCGGTGCTCTGAGGATGGCTACAGTGTTAGCTGAAACTTGTCAGCTAAAAAAGGTAAAAACAAATCAATACTCTGTATTTAGAAAGGGGCCAAACAAATTTGGTGGACTGCACAGAACAAACGTACAAAACAAGGTTTGAAGAGCAAATTCACACGTTGAGTCGATCTAAGTTGGAAAAAAGCTCTGGCGCTCCTGTTTCAGGAGGTAGAAATGAGCCAGAGGAGTAGAGGGCAGAGTCTTGCTTCCTGATATTCTGACATCTCACCTCTGGCTAACAGCAACTGACTGTTTGCTTTGCAACACTGATGTTTATTCTTTACAAATCTGAAGAATTTCTGCCTTGTTGTGGGGTTGCTAATGCTAACGGTTAGCTTCTAATAGCACACTCTGCTCTTTCCTGGATAAATAAACCAACAACAGCCTTCCCTGCCGTGAGTCCATGAACGCTAAGTTGACATTTTAACATGCAATTACCTTTTCTAATGCGAGTGTCTCCCTGTCCATTTTCTGTCAGTGGCTAATGCAGGAAATAGGGGTAGAAGACCATTTTCATGTTTAGCCTGCCTGTTAAACTCCAACCATATTTCAAAAATAAACCAGTTTCTCAGTGAACTTGGTCTTTAAATTTGAACGGTTTAAAAAATGAACATAAAGATTAGTTATTATAAATCTGATCCCACAGACAATAGTGTGATATGCATCAGAATATGTCTGATTCTCCTCAGAAGATCACATTTACTGACTGATCACATTACGGGTTTGTTAAAATCAGAAGCTACATGTGGAAAACACCAAGGCAAATTATTCGACAACATCTGGAAGAAATTAAACAGACAAACTGTTTGGTTCCAAGTTTAAAATGTGTGTTTATCTGCATGATAAATCTAATTAAAATAACCAGAGTTTTTCTGAGAGATGTGCCACAACAACCCAAACCCAGCTGGAGGAGCTGAGTGAAACCATTCCTGCTCCTTCGTGTGTTTTTCTGTTGGTTTTTGTGTCAGTTACTTGCTGGACCCCCTGCTGAGAGCAAAGATGTTGTGAACAAGGCGCGGCACATCATATACCGCGGCGGACATCAGTGAACGTGTTCCTTTGAGAATACATTAAAATAACACACAAATACACGGAAATGTCAACAGAACAAGGCAGGTGTGGGGCCTGAGAATCTAATGAAACAGGAGTGAACATATGTGAACACGTTAGGCACAGACGCCAGCTAGCCAGCACAGTTTGACCACTCACAGGTGAAGACAGAAAGTGTTGATGAAGTCTTTAAGGTGCCAAGCTGTGGGATACATCAGTAATCTGTTGTGTGAGTGTGAAGGAGGCAGGACGGCTGGGCAGGCTTCAAAGCCAGGCTGGATCGGAGCGTTTCATGAAGGCTTACGGGGTTCTTCTGGTCGATCTACTGATGTAGAGCTGAGGAGGGACAAATCATAAACCCAGACAGAGGACGTGGTGGACCAAGCCTCATATATATATTGCATCTCCACACATCACAGTTGACCGGATTTAAAAGATTTGCTACTAATGCCTTGGTGGTCAGAGGCGGAGCCTGTGCCTTTTTGTATCGCAGGTGCTTGGAAGCAAACAAAAGCAGCAAAAAAGTCAGATGTGGTCATAATATTTTGGCGCTGTGGATGCTGCTGACTGTGAGCAGGAGAGACGTGTAATCCACACAGCAGTCATCAAAGACAGGCTGAACACAAGCTACATTTGTCTGATAAGAAAGGTCCCTTGTGCCATTTGAAAGCCTGCAGACGGCCATCAGCTCTGCTCTTAGAGCTTCACAGGAAGGGATAAGGAGAGCATCCTGAACACCTCACTCTGACTGGCGTAATTACAGAATAAACCACACTGCTCTTTTTCCTCCATGCTATTTCAAATAGTGGATTAAGAGCAGATTTGAAGCCCGGCCATCTGTGTTTTGCACGAGTGTGTGCTTCCTTATCTCATCTGAACCATGCACCTCTCTCACAGCTCCCAGTCGCTTTTACACTCCAAGCCAGAGAGGTTGGTCGGCTTAGGGCCCTGAAACTGGGTCATCTGAGTTGTGCTTAAAAACTGGGGGTGGATAAAGAGGGCCGGACACCAAGCAAAGCTGCAGAGGTCGCACGGAGGTAGACGAGGACTAGAAAGAGCAGTCGGTTGGATGGAAGCAGCAAGCAGAAATGTCAGGATGAACTAATGCAGCCCTCGTTGCTGGAGGAGATATTTTTGGACAGTACACCACGTTTATGGCACCAGTCGCTCACAGCCCCTTGTTCTCTTCTGGTTGCAGGGGCCAAGGTAGAGGCCAGAGGGTCTGAGGGTCAGACCCAGCACCTCTTCTGCCAACAGACAGGAGAGGGAAACTGTACTTGATGCCGCCATTATGGGTCTAAATAAAACCGACGCTGCACACACATATCAGCACAGGGCAACTCTCGGGTCAAGATGGAACAAAGAGACTGGCTGGGTACGCAGTCTCATGACAGAAGCCAGTGACAGGTCAGGAGGAGCACCGTCCTCCGGGCCTTTCTGCTGTGAAATGTGAAACGCTTCTGAGGTTCAAACAGATAGTGAGAGCTGCTGGAGTCCCAGAAATCAGAGGGACGGGACATTTTGTAACCATTCAGCAGCACTTTCCATATGACTTCTGTACGCAACGACTATTCAACCATCCCAGCTAAAGGGTTAAGGCTTTTATTACCCTTTGTCAAAAGGTAAAAGGTTTTTGCAAAAATATCCCATGAAGCATGCGTGGGATTATAATGAGAGAAGGTAATCATTGTACAAACAGCTTCAACTGAATAACTTTAGTCTGTGTGACGGCCAGATGCTGGCCTGGTGCCTGAGTGTCAGTGCTTCATTGTTGGGACTCAGGGTCAATGTAATGAAGCTGTCATCAAATCACAAACTGACAACATGTGATGTGGAACAGCATCGTCACACCAGCATCAAACTAAACACACTTCCAGTAGCTGGTATATTAACGCTTGGTTAAATGTGCTGATAAACTGCATGCCACATTTTGAACCGCATGCAGCGGTTCCATTCCAAGGAATAGAACCCCGGTGCCAGTCAATGTTTGGTGGACCCCCTCCCCCCCTCTTTCATTTTTTTTAAATAAAAAAAGACAAGAGGGTGAAATTGTTTAAACATTTTATTGCTATTTCAAATTAAGAATCTCTACCTCCCCAAAAATTACTACCTTTAAATAACACAAATATAATTAGGCAAAATAAACATTTTGGCATAGCGAAATTAAAACAAATAACAGACAGGGACACCTCAGTTTAAGCATTTTAGCACAGCATTGCTGCTACAAGTTTGAGTTCAAACTGCTATAAAATGCATATTGTACTGTTTTTTTTAGTACACAGAGCAAATTATCTAAACCCATCTCATCTTGTTTCTCCGTAATAACATTTAAATCTAGATCCGAGGTCCCGCTGTGGGTTGTGACTCACTGGCTTAAAACAAAATCTAACTCAATGCGTGTCAATAGATGCGTTAATTATTGACACCCATGAAAATCCCTGGCACTTGCACCTACAAGGCAGTGATGACAAGGGCTGCAGCTGCCTCCCAGACAAACCACTGCTGTTACAGTACATGTATGGGCTCATTCAGCGCACTTAATCTGAATCCACATGCTCGTTGTCCCCAAGACATCAGTATGACAAATGTGAGAGGTAAGTGTCCTCTTTGCAATGATGCAATAACTAATGACAACACAAAACTTCAAGTATGTTCCAAACGCAGCTCCTCTGTTCAACCACTACATCTGGGTCTAAAGAGACTAATGTCTAGGCATGCAAACCCTACTAATGTGCAGCCGCTTTTGCTTTCCATGACATATTAGTGCATATTAGGAACTGGTGGGTGCTCTTTGAGAGGTTTGGCTCTTCAAGCTGTGGCATTAAAGCCAGCTCGTGTTCTAGGAGGCAAAAAGGCTTGGCTTACTATGCTCACATTCGAAATGTTCAGTCGCTTAATTGGGCAGCACTTAGTATCACACGAGTACAACATTGAAAAAAAGGTCAGCATTCAAAAGTGAAACATTTCGAGTTCCTTATGCATCAACTCTTTACCATTATCCTGAGCTGCAACAACATAAAGTGACTATTATTAACCAAAAGCATCTAATATATTAACTGATTTAAAATCTGTGAAAAGTAATAAAATCACTGATTACAGACAGCAAAAGTAAGCTTTAACATCCACATATTCAAGTGTGTACAAATTACTCCCAATGTGCATTCTGCAAGGTTGCATTCATGAAATAACTTAGAAAATAAATAAATAAATAAATAAATAATCCTTAGCATTATTTAGAATTGATTTCTCCCTTTTATAGTCCTGGACAATAAAGTATGAAAAAGCAATTTTAATGAAAACAGAGAGCTGACCCCCACCCTCTGATGTTATTGGTGCTGATGGAAGGGATGGAGGATTTGGTTGGTCTGCTGGTATGAGCGGGATCAAATAAAATTAACTAAATAACAACCGTCAGTAACCCCTAATCCTCAAAAATCTCTTTGTTGGTCTTCCACAAGGCCACTGGGCAAGGTCGAGGCCCCATTCCGTGCCCAGAGCTGCACCAAAATTCAGGTTCATACTGGGACTACGAAGATTCGAGTTTGGCTGGGTGGAAGTCGTGGGAGAGTGGGGAGGAGGAGGAGGGTAGAGGTCAAAAGGCAAGGTTTCAGGAGCCAGCCTTGCCACGGTGACCTCAGAAGTGGTCCATCCTGGCGGCGAAAAGGCTGCGGGAGCGTGGCACGGCCGAGGAGAGGCGGCCAAAGCTGGACGAAGGCCACTTCATGATGAACTGGGAGGTCACTGGCAGCAGGTACCTGGCCAGACGGGCACAAGCGAGGAATGGAGGGATTACGGGGAAAGGATGAACATAATGAGAGGATTAGTCCCGCAAAGGTCACAATTTAGAGGTCGGGCCATTTAAATCAGCACAGAGAAGGCATATCGCCGAAATTTCATATATTGATTCTACCATTTATGGCCTTCTTCATTTGCATATCTTAGTTTTAATAATGGCCTGGTGGTGTCAAGATATTATGACACCCCTTAGCCTTAAAAACAGGAGGAAATAAATCAAAAACCTAAAGGGTAAAGCTTCTGATCAGAGGCTGTTTGTGTAAGGCAGAGAAAACTTATTTATGACCAAAACATCAAATCTTCTAGCAATTCAAAAAAGCTGAAAACAGATTATTTTCAACACACTTAATGTTCAAATGCAAAGCTAATTCATTCATAGGGACCACACCACAGCAATGAAAGTTTACAGGTCACGGGTTTATTGGTCAGGATGGTGGACAGCTATGGGATGACTCAGAGTGGGGGTTCTATCTCAGGTGCTGGATTAGAGACCCCAGTAGATGACACCTAGAATGAGAGGAGGAGGGCATAATGGTAAATGGTTGCATGGACATAGAGAGAAAAGTGAAGGAAGGTAATGAGAGATGAAGAGGATGAGAGGGATGAAGAGGAAGCGATGAAGGAGGATTGGGTCAAAAGAATGTGATGAAGAGCTGAGTAGAAACACGAATGTTGGGTAATTAGAAGTGTGGTTGAGGCGTGGCCCTGCTTCCAAACCTTTGCAGCTCTTAAAAAAAATTTCACAGGATAACTATCCTGTATCAATTAAATCCTGACCCTTGTAATGTCTGTTGGGGCAGCTCGGCTTTTCTACCCGGACCCTTAAAATCTCTAGAATCATGAACAGAAAATCCTCACCTATCATTCCGAGGCACAGACGTCAGTACCTTCCTAAGACCTTTCTATGACATCTTCCACCGAAACAGAGCAGTGAGGCAGCTCCTGCTAACAGCGTTCCAGTACCTGAGAATGAGACCAGTGTCAGGTTGAGATAGAGTCGGGGAGGCTCAATTCTGCTCCCATCTTCCTTAGTTATTAGAAATGAGCCAGATACGGTTGTCAGAGCAATGTCAGATGAAATGATCAGATCCTGTTCAGGGTCAACTGAAGCCTAAGCAAAATGTTAGGGTACTGTTAAGAAGACACGGGGAGTTTAAAACTCTTCCACACACATCACTTTGAGCAACGACTTACAATTACGGGCTTTTCCAGAAGACTTAAATCACTAAATTATACATTCAGTGGCCCTATTTTTTATTTTTATTTTTTACATCTTCAGCATGGATCCTTATTTAATAAGAATTTACATCTAATGCTCGTTTAGTTAAACAAGCACAGCGGTCTTAAGAAGTAGTCCCTGTGGAAGTGTTTTAGATGTGACAGTCTAATCAAAAAGGAGCCACTGGGGGCTATGGAGAGTAAGGAAAATAATATAAGGAAATAATATCTTCTTTAAAGCCCGCGTAGCGATAGCACATTTTCCTCTGACAGCTCTCGCTCCATTTGAAACAGCTCTTGGACAAATTAGCCGAGCAGATTCTCCTGAAGTCGGCTGGAAAGGAAAGGGGGGGAAATGCACGTGGCTGAAGGCATCCGTTTCACTACTGCCTCAAACCCAAGAGAGTTAGGAGAGATTCATATTAAATTGATTTAGTCCAATGAGTGTCCTTGAAACTGCTTCAAGTGGGTTGTGTGTGTCCCTCAAGCACACGGTCTTCAACTGAGCCCAGACTGGGTGAACAATGGCTCGGTGTGACATTTGCACCTCACTCCAATCCCAGAGAGGTGGGAAAGCTTTTGCTGTTCTCATATCCATCCATTATTCAGCTCTGAGTGTGGTTTCATAGTGCATTAAAGGATTTCAAACCAAGATGTCACCCCTGGATTGATTTCCACCTTGTTTTCTGTGCTTGTTTCCCCCGCCGTATATTTGATCACTCTCTTTTATGAAATTCACCAACATCTGCAGGGATTGTGTTCACGGGTTTCATCCACTTCCAAACAACGAGTTTCAAATTGAACACAAAAAAAAAAACAGCAGGGTCAAGAAATCGTGAAGTAAGGAGGGAAGGAGGGACAGAAGGAAACAAGGAAAGAAAAAAAAATTAACATTCATGTGGGGCCAAGTGGGTTCTTCAAGCTCCTCTGCTATTCACTTTGAGAATATTCAGCGTATATATATAAAATTAAATTAAAAAGCCGCTCTGATAGTGGTGAAAACTCACGTCCACGCGGTTGCTGTCTCTGCAGGCTATATTTAATCGGACCCTCATTGGATCTCTTCCAGGTTCGTCCTCCTTTTGATCACAGAGAGGGCCTTGGCATGCTTGAAAGCCAGTGGGAGGCATGTTCACGCACTTGTGTTTTACTTGAATCCATCAGCATATACAGATACCGGGCTACAATCTATACACGCAAACCTGCTATCAACTCCTCTTTCTCCTGACAAGCCAATCTCAGGTCCTCCATTGAGATGCGAGTGCCACGGTGCATTAAGGGGAGGCCAGACGAAACAAAATACCGTGACTAAGGATGCGAAGGGAGACTGCCGTGACAGCTGATGCAATCATAAACCAAGAGGGATAAAGAGACTTGAAGGTTATCCGTGGCCCACGTTTAGCTCACCAATCCAGTTAGTTCTAATTATTGCCACACATTTCAGAGAAAAGAGAAAAGTAATAGATTCCAAAACTTTTGTCATCCTGAGAAATTTGTTTTTAAGTACTGGCAGTAATTCCAGGCTTAACAAGGTAATGATTAGTGAGGCTATTTGGCTAGTCCATCTTATGAGCCCACACAAGCCCAACGAGTGTCCTCCAACTCCACAAGGCTTCTGACACACTTGATCACAGCTCTTCACACGGGAAGGGTGTTTGAGCTGGCAGGTGTGGTCAACAACAGAGAAACTGAGGACACCAGTTATCAAAGTCTGACCTGAGCTGCAAAGCAGAGAGCTACACTGTTAAGTGCTGCAAATGCATTGATGCATAGCGAGAGGGTTGGTGAAATTAAAAAAATAAGACGTGTAATTTAAATCACAGCACAATTGGCTTGGGGGTGGCGGTTTTGAGGCATTGAGCTTGTAATTTAGTTGCCACTAGAGACGTAAGTATTTATTTACTCCACATTTCCAGACAACCTAAAACAACTGACACAATTGTGGGTCTGCTCTCTCAGTCACTGAAAAGTAGGAACACCTAATAGAGAAAGAAGATTATGCTTTGTTATGATGCGTTTAAAGACTGGGGCAAAAAACCTGTTAATGCCTGTTCTGCTGGTCAACACTTGTCAAGCAAAAGAAATCGGTGCACCTCTAGTTGCCATCGTCTTGGGTTGTTGAAGGAAGATCTAACTACAAACCAAATAGCTTTAGGTTTACACTATTTTTATTAAATACATAAAAATACTGAAATATTGATTTTGGTAAGCTGTAAACACGTTGATTTGAAATTAATATTTTAACATGAAGCTTATGGGAATTAGCTGACTTTCTGAACCTTCTGGCTGATTGCTCTGCTCACCTGTTTATGATTCTATTGCTCGCGTCTTCACTGGTGCAATTTCAACACGAGATACAGAGGCCATGTCCAAAATCCCCATTTCACTAAAACATGCAAGTAGAAGTGGAGCTGAAGTTAAAGCTTTGCTGTGGTTTCTAGTACACATGAATGCCTTCTGAGTCGATCTCTGTGGGGAAAAGCCCTGGCTCTCCTGTTTCAGGAACTAGATGTTAGCCGGAGGAGAGGGAAAAAAATGTGGCGTCTTACTCATTATGATATTTGGGCATCTTGCCTCTGATTGGCTAATAGCAACATGACTTTACCACTGTTTGCACTGTTGATTTTTTTTTATCTCCACAAATAACTCAAGCCTTATGGAGTTCTGCCATGTTGTGGAGTTGCTAATGCTAACGGTTAGCTTCTACTATCCGAGACACGCTCTGCTCTCTTCTGGATGCTAAACAGAAAACAGTCTTCACTCGTCTTGAGCCAAGATGGGTGAGTCCATGAAAGGAAATGTACACTTTGTCTTTTTCCTAAACGCAGCTAATGCAGGAAATAGGGGTAGAAGACTGTTTTCATGTTCAGCCTGCATGTGGGACTCGGAGTGGCCAAACGTGCTTAAGAAATAACAAGTAAAAACATTTTCTCAGTTAACTTGATCTTTAAAAAATAATTAAAAGTCTCTGTTTCTTAGTTAAGTGAATATTTGTCCATGGGTTGCAAATTGTTCCAAGTCTGAAGTCACCTGGAGCATCTGGAGAGAAGAGATTACTGTTGTGGAACAGAACAGGACATGAGCATGCACACCCACGCACTCCACACTCATCGTTTTGCCCTTTCGTGTTAGGCATATGCATCAATGGAAAAAAATTATCCCAATTGCTTCTCAAATATCTGAAGTGGTGGCGACTTGTGTCGGCCCTTTGCATGCCTGATGGAGAGATGTGAGCCACTTGTGCTGTGGAAGTACAAACTGCACGATCTCAACCAAACCCCTTTTTTCCCTGTCTTCTAGTGACAAGAAGAGAGTGGTGCTTGGGTTGATCGTGTCACTGATAAGGTGCAGGTGAGGTCCTCAGTTCCCACTGAGGCCACTTGAACAGAAAATGTACCCAGAGTACAGTATGATGCTCTTGATTCAAGATTAGGTAAAAAAACAAAAAAACAGTGGCGGTTGGTGGGTGGCTGGCTGGTGATGCACTGCAAGCTGGCTGAATGTTTGCAGCACTGACCGAAAATGCTCCAAATTATCTGAATGTGCCTCCTTCTCCTTTGTTCTCAGTTAGAATTACCTAGTTTTTAGAAACACTTCAAGTGAATCGATTCCAGTGCTAGGATTTTTAATAAAAGAAAGAGAAGGCGACCATATCAGACTTTTGGTTCTGCAGCCAATGCAACCATCTTTGGGCAAGTTGGATCAGAGCATCATGTGAGGTGGTGGCAGCAGCGGCAGAAAGCAGTGAGTATTACTCAAGTATGGTGGAGGGGGGGGGCAACTAAACCAAGCAGAGACCTGCATCGAGGGGCGAAGAGACGGAGGAAGAGGAGGAGGAAGCAGCAGCGACAGCAGCAGGAGTGGAGCCATGAGTAGAGTTTGGTCCGGCAGCGAATGGAAAGCTTTTTCACACAGACACATACAGACATAGAGGAAATAAGGAGAGACAGACAGGTGCAGGCTTAAAGCAGCACTACAGAAGACCATCGCTAAACACGAGGGTCTGTGCATGATCAGGTTCCCCAGATCTATACTTTCACACATTTTTGTTACAGTTAACATTTTTCTAAAATTGTCTCAAGATACCAGCATTTTCTGAAAGAACCAAACCCAAAACCTCCTAAATACTTTTTTTTTTAACAACTGAGGGTTTAATACAGTAGGAGCAAAGTGATAGCCTGTTAAAATATGCGTGAGAGTTATGAATCATGTAAAGCGAGGCCCCGGGAAAAAAAAAGGAGCTCTCTCTCGTAAGGTCATTTGCTGCTCAGACTCATCTGGGCTCTAATTGAATTAAGAAGGTCTCGAGGGGCCCCGGGCTAACCTGAGCGCTAATCTGTGGGCCATTATTTCCTGTTAACAGCGCGCTCCCTCTCTCCCACTCCTAACCCAGCTCCCACTCAGTCTGCCAGCCCAAAGCATGTGTGATTTAAAAGTTCACTCATTCCAAACCTGAGCTGCTGTCCCCTGTGGGGATCGGCGTTAAAAATAGAACGAGGCTGATTTTTGCTTGTTTATTTTATCACGCCTCCATTAGGAAGATGATGGCTCCGAGGCTCCATAGAGGAGAAAGAGGAAATTTTTCCTGAAAGAGGTTTAATGATGATAGCTGTATCATAGCAATGTGTTTGTCAGTGCATTCTAAAGGGAATTTATTTACTTGGCACGTTTGGGGTTTAGACTGCTTTAATTAACTTTCTACTTTGACCTAAATATCAGATGAAAACACCAAAATAAATATTCATCAGCGATGCCTAGTGTTATCTTTACACATGTTTAGCACAACTGTGGGCTTCGTTTATTGTTCCTGTGTTGTGTATACTATGTTTTAATGTGTTTTGACTCTTTCATGGAAAAAATAAAATAAAATTCCTGCATGAGATTACCCAGATGGGAACTGGGATGTCAAAAGCTTGCAGGTCCCTCTCACCTGGTGTCATCCCATTCGGGGCTGAGTCCAGTCAAAGAGCCGCGGGACTCTGAGACGAACTTGTAAACGACCAACAGGCAGTCTCGGCACAGCTGGACCAGCCGGCGGCAGCACAGCAGCTCCTGGGGCGACACCACCTCACTGCTCTTGTTGAAGATGGCCTCCCACGAAGAGCTAGAGAACAAGACATCAAAGTTAGGACACAAGCTATAGTCCAGGAGGTCTCGTTTGTGAACTGATTGAGTACGCGTCATGACCGCACGCATCAACGCGCCAGCCTTTTCAACATGTGGAAAATTCATTTGCGCCAATCCTCAAATATACACTGACATTAAGGAAGACACACAGTGGAAGGATGAAACAAATCCAAGTACAGTTAAGCCTCTTAACAATCCCAAACATACCCCTGACTGTGAGAGAGCCTCAACAACTGAGGCACACAACCCCGGGGGGTACTTTTGATGTCTCCCCCTCCTTGGGAGGTACGACGTGCTTCTTCTCAAAAGGTTCAAAACTGTGTTTCCATTCTCCTCTTCCTGAGTCTTTTTCTTTTTCAAAGCTTGTTGAATTCATTGCCCACAATAGCTGCTGGGCCGTTTGATTGTTGTTAAGTCCCTCAGATAAAATATCAAACAAGAGACAGAGGGGGGTGAGGGGAGGGGGTCTTCACCCTGGATTTGGAGTACGCTTTTCAAGCTGCAACCGCCTCAACTGTCTCTGCGTGATACAGGGCCCCCTGTTGGGTTCATCCATGTTGGGGCCATGATCTGTTCTAAGGAGGGGCCAGACGCTAGCCTAGCGCGCTAGCTGTATCATCCAGAGCATGCTGTGATCAGACAAAGACTAAATGGAGGAGCAGCCAGCCGAGGGTTGCCTGCCTAAGCTAATCCTTGCATGCTAACATCCCTCACTGCTGTTTCTTGCGGAATCCCATTTTCAATCTCTCTACTTTTTCTCTGTGACAAAACTCGTCATTTTCACTCGCTCTGCTCATCAGTCACTCCGTCTTGGTCACCCTTACACACTTGCTCTCAATTAGGACTCCAGATGAAGTAACGGAGGAGAACAGAGGGTTGTGAGCGGCGGCGCAGGGTTACCCCCTCTGAGCCCTCTGTGTCAGGGGGAGCACGCCTCTGAACAACTGAACTGTAAAGAATATGGAGAGGAGGAGATGTGAGAAGGTCACACCTTTCTCTCAGAGGAGATAAAAAGCTATCAGAACAGCAGCTGTCTGCATGCCGTATATGTGATGGTCTAACGTCTGGAAAATAAATGACTGGGCTCCAGTTCGAGAACAAGAGATTCAAATTTTCACTTTTTTTCACGTAGCCTCATCAAGGGTTGTGAGAAGGCACTTTTTGTCTCTTCAGAACATAGGAAGATGGGTAAAAAAAAGACACCACAATGAAAATGTTGGAGTATCAGATAACAGCCTGAACTTAAGAGGCTTCTTTCACCTGCTCCCCACTTTCACTCCCCTCTCTTCTCCCTCTTTTTGCTCTCACCTGTGAATGAGCCATGATTAAGAGCCCCGATTTAAGGAAAGTGCAACGGGGTCTGCTCGATCTGTCAGTCATCCTCCATCTTTCAGCCGCCGTTTCTTCTGCAGTAATGCTGAATGAAAATGGCAAATTGTCCCTGCTGTCACTAAAACTAGTATATTGATGAACAGAGGGCTTGCGGGCATGAGGAAATTGCGTGGTGCATGAGCCTCTAGTTATGGAGATGGAGGAGTGATGTTACGCAGTGAATAAAGTGGTAATTGGCCTGCACTGTGATCGTGTGTTTGTGTTGATTCTGAGGAATTAGATTCTATTCATTCGTTGTAACATTAAGAGCAATTTTTCAATGTGTGGTTTTTTTTTCAGTTAGTTCAGTCATCACTGAAAGTCAAACTGCAGTTGTTTTTGTTTGAATAAAAATGATTAGATTGCATGCTGTAACTTTTAAATAACAGCAGCAGTCCATTCCCATTATAAGATTGTTACTTTCACTTCATGCTGTTTATTTCTATCATCTTCTTCTTACTTCCATCTTTGCCAGTTTACAACTAAGTGAAAAAAACATAGTAACATAGTTTGTTGCCTTTTTTTCTATAAATCTTTGCATTTGATCAATCACTGTAGAAAATATGACCGAACCGTCTGCAGAGTTACCCGTAGGTTTTTGATAGGCTGATTTGAAGCCTACTGAGATGTTCCCACCACTGCCACTTTGGAGACCATGGACAGCTCCTTCAGTGGCAGACTGAGACATCCCAGATGTAAAACAGAACGCTACCGTAGGTCATTCAATCAATCAAATTTATTTCTAAAGCGCTTTTCAAACAAAGTGTGATTCAAAGTGCTTTACAAAATGACCCCAGATTCCCATAACAGGTTAAAAACATTAACAAACATATGCAAGCACACGCACACACACACACACACACACACACACACACACACACACACACACACAAGTAAAAATTATATTAGGCTGAGTCCAGATGAGCCAAGTATGGTAACGCAAGGAAACGCCATCAGAGGAGCCGTCTGTCCCGGCAGCATCAGGTCTTCCACACTAAGTCAGGGCGCTCAGTGGAGGGGGAGCATAGACCCCCACCTATAGAGCGCCCAGGAAGCTACAGCCGACCACCGCTCCCGGGGCAGAGGGCCCCCACAGAGGAAACACTGGATTAAAATGAGTAAAAATGTAATAAAAGAGCTAATATAAATGACAAAAATTAGAAAATAAGTAATAAAATGATATAGACAGTAAAATAATAATTTAAATAATAAAACTGTGCTAAAATATAATCATATAGAACATGCAAAGCAAGTAATAAAATATAATCATGTAAAACGAGAATTAAAACTGTAGAAAATATTTAGATAAAAGCTAACCTAAAAACCTAGGTCATTCATCCCGTCTGCAGTAAGAGTGTATAACTCCTCAGTTTAACTGGTACTGACATTATCCTGAAAATGCAATATTCAATACGTGTTCAATTTTATGTAAAACCAGATGAACATTAGTATTTCCATGTAAGTTATGCTGCATAGTTCTGGAAACACAAGTTTCCTTTTTATTAGTTGTTTTTAGAGGTTGAGGGTTACAACACTAGCTTACTGCCTATGTGTGTTTACCTGTAATCATTTTATTTTCTTCTTCCTTTTCTCTAAGTGTTTGTGCTGCTGTAGAAAGTGAATTTCCCCACTGGGGGATTAATAAAGTCTATTCTTACTAGCTCAGACTGGGAGATTGGGGTTCAAATCCTGGTCGGGTCATACCAAAGACTTAAAAAAAAATAGGACCCAGAATCTCCCTGCTTGACCCTCGCTAAGCTGCATTGGGGGGTTAAACCACCAAATGGTTTCCGAGCGCGGCTGTGTCTGCAACTCACCCCTTCCCCAGGGATGGGTCAAATGCGGAGAACAAATTTAGCACACACATCAGTGTGTGTGACAACTAATGGGCTTTAACTTAACTCTATTCTGTTCTATTCTATTCTAAATCCTCCCCTTGTTAAAACATGAGTTAAATGTGATTACTCATTAACTGCCAATGATGACTAAAGTCATCATTTGCATTGTTTAACTGTGTGGGTGTCGGAACAAGCCCCCGCACCGTGAGAACAAACATCCCAGCTCTAAAGCTGATCTTCATCCATGTACGTCACGTGATCAGGAAGCAGAAAATCCATGTGTTAGGAGATTGTTTTGGGCCTCTGCTGTAAAAATAAGTGAGGCGCAAACTGGAAAAGCTTCTGCCACAATTTGACACCGGATTGTGAAAGAATGGATAATACTCGAAACTTGCAGATTCTTCCTGATGTAAGAGATGAGTCTACTCTTTGTGTTGTTAGTTTTGGTGTCCACATCATCCTAGCGTGCAACTTTCTGTGACTCTTAAAAAAACTGTAAAAATGCTGAGAAACGCTGGCAGCGAAGGGATTTTCTGATCAGGAAACAGCTGGCGGTGAATGAGTTTACCAGCTGTGGGTGGCCTTGGTGGGCTGTAAAAATCTAAATGGCTCTTTATCAAATACAGGTCACTGACCATTGATTAGTTATTTTCTAAGCACCGCATAATAGAAGATTGTTTTTACCTTTCTTGCTGACAAGTTTTGGCTAATGCTGTAGCCTTCCTTAGAGCATAGCCAATGGGCAGTGATCCGAGGAAGGCTACAACGTTAGCTGGAACTTGTAAAACAAATCTATTACGCTGTGTTTGGAAAGTAACTAAGCAATGGAATTTGACAGATTACACAGAACAAACGTACAAAATAGGTCATTGATCATTTACCATTTGAAATCTGCATCTTGCATTTGTACCATTCTGTCCATTAATGACGTTTGTTTGCTGATCTACGACATTTAGGTGTGACAAAATAAATTCTCTAAAGCATTAAATACCTTTTTGAGGTGGGGGGAATCTGTAAAAACTTAGTAAATTCAAAAACGTCTGTTCTCATTTCTACGTTAATTATGGTAAAGGTGACTATTTAGTTTGAGCTTTTGTTTCTGAGGAATTATCCCTCTGAGGGTTCACACACTAAAGAGTATACCAGATGATAAACACACTCGGCACAATTTCTAAAAGTCTGCTCCAAATCTGCTTCGTAAGTGAACAGAGACATGGGTGGAGTCCAGCTCAGACTGGCCTACCTGGTGTTGGAGAAGCAGTTCCACAGGCCCTGTCCATGACTCCAGAGAAGTCGGTTGAAGACGCGGTTAAAAAGCCGGTAGAGATGGAGAGTGTCTACAGATGGCTCCCTCCAGATCCGCTGCAGCATCAGGAGGACGTTGGTTCGTACAATATCCAACACCTGACACAGAAAGCGTGTGAGTGTGAGACGAGGAGTGAGGATCCTCCAGGAAAGTGTCAACAAGACAATTACATGTGACAATAATGAAACAGCTTATTGATATGCAGATTTTGGTATTTGTTCCTAAAGCAGTTTTGTTTTTTATCTAACTATGAACTTAGTAATCAGACTGGCTACCAAGTTTACTGATCAACAAAGAGCAAAGTTGAATT